CAGGCCGCACGGGGGGGGAAGGGGGGGCGGCCGCGCGCTGGGCCCCGCGGGGGGAGGGGCGGTTCCGGAGGGGCCGCTGGGGCGCGCTGTATTGTGCAAGCGAGGCTCTGGGCGGGCGTGACGTCACTTCCGGGCTGGGCGCTGCACGGGCTCGCGTTTGGAAGGCTCCGTACAATGGAGGCGGGAGGGGGCGGAATCCCCCTCCCCGCGGCCGCGCGCAGCGCTGGGCCCCGCGGCCCGGGTACCAGCCTTTCCTTTCTCTTCTTTTTTTTGTTTTTCCTTTCCTTTTCTTTTTGTGCTTTTTTTTGTTTTTCCTAAGCATTCAGAGCCCCTGCAACACTGGCAGGTTTGCTTTGGTGCGGCATTGTCTTTGTTACAGCTCACCACCCCATTAAGCAAATAACCGCCCACTGCTTTCTTCAATTTTAGACGGTTTTTCCTGCAGTTTTTTGTTTTTAAAATATGGGTGTCCCCCCATCCCACTTCCCCCCCAGTCTCCAGCAGGAGCTTCATAGGCAGGCTAAACGTTTTCTAGTTGCTTAAGGAACTTCTCTGTTTCTTAAATCTGGAATTGGATGCGAAGGGGAATTTGAATTTTTAAAGTGATGGGCCCCCCGCTGGCCCCTTTTAATCAGGAAAATGTAATGATTGCTTGCAATTTCTCTCTGTAGGAGATGCTAAACCAGAACAAAAAGTTGGTGAGAAGAAGAGGGGTGTGAAGAGACCACGTGAAGACCATGGTCGTGGATATTTTGAGTACATTGAAGAAAACAAGTACAGCAGGTAGAGGAGCTAATGTTAGGCAGCACTTTGGTATCCGTTTGAAGCAATGTTTAAGATGATGTATTCAGTCTTTGTTAAAGAACTTTAGTTGTATTTTATATGTTGTGTTTTGTTTTCAGGGCCAAATCTCCTCAACCTCCTGTTGAAGAGGAAGATGAGCAGTTTGATGATACAATGGTTTGTCTTGATACTTGTAAGTAAAGCTACTCTTCCTTACTTTCTAGCAATGTAGGTATTGGGGTATATTTCTAGTTTTAAAACTAGCTGTCTTCATTGTAGTCAGGTCTGTCCCCGTTGAAAATGATTTACATGGAATTTTAATGTCCCTTTTCCTGCTTTTATGATGTGAAGAGTAAGAAAAACCTAATGGGGGTGGGAGGAGTCAGGGAGAGATGAACAAACTTTATAGGAAGGACAGTAATACAAACTCCTCCAATTTTGCTGTCGATACTTGGAGTGAAAGGCAGTGTTTCAATCTTGTATTTAAGAGGATATAGTAGACCTTGCCTACAATATTAATCCTGCCAGAATAATGGAGAAAATAGGTGTTTAATGAAAGCATAAAACCTTAGGCAAGCCAACCAAGTTTTTCTTGGTAAGTTTGAGAACTTAATTTTGAAATCTTCTGCACAGGGTCTTACAACTTTGCTCACTTGCAGGAAGGGAAAACTTCTTTCACTTCCAAAGCTGTAAGTGCAAGTAGTAAAGATATGTGAGACAAACTAAGGGCTTGTTCAACTGCAGAATTAAAAACAGACTGTTACTTTATTTGTAAAGCACTATCAATTTTGAAAGTGGGAAGCATGTTAGTCCATAGAAAATAGTTGTTATATTTTCATGCAGATTTTTGTGCAACATTGACAAGCCTTAACTAGAATTAAGGAAAATGCTTAATTTCTTGAGCTAGCTATAATGTTAATGCTGAAATTTTCACTTGCTTTGTGCCCTGAAACAAACTTACGCTAGTGTGCATATGGGTAAGTGACTAATCCAGAGAGTCAAGTCCTTAGTGTGCTATTGAGGACACATTTTTATAACTCCGTGGAAAATGTGACAAGTTGATAGATAGCATCCGGTGGTGTAACAAAGAAACTACAAGTGGACAGTTAGACATTTCTTGTAATAGCTGAAATGTCTAGAACTTGCATATGGTAGCTAAACTACCTCATCAGTTAAAACTTGTTGCAGTTTAATGGCTGCAAATGAATAGTCTTTATTTCACTAAGTTGCATGCTTTTAATACTTGCCGATAGTAAGGAGCAATTAAAAAGAGACTTCATATTTTGGTTTACTTACTCTGCATTTTTTTACAGCATTTCTATATGTGGTGGCTTCTCCACTTCAAGCTGGGTTAAATTTGCATTTATAATATTTGAGAGTACAATATATAGTGTGTTTCAGGGGTAGCACAGACCAACTGCAGATGCTTCATCAGCCTGATGAAGGAAGGGTGTTTGTGCCTAAAAGCTTGCTAAGAAGAATTTTTTTCCAACTATTTGAGTTGGTTTAATAAGATATCTAATTTACCCAAAGAACTTGTCTGGATATATAGTATGTGAAACTTTAGCTATTTGCAGCTAGGTAGTTTTCAAGTTGATTTGCTTAACTATTAAGCTGTCAAGTTATTCTTAATGATTGTCAGCAGCTGTCTTCTGTTCAAAACAGCTTGATAAATACTTAAAGCTTTATGTCTGGTATATATTATACCAAAGGCCTATAGTTTTTGAGGGGAAGGAGGGGGCAGTTGAACACAAAGTAGCATTAAAACGTTGTCACTCGTGAGCAGGTAGGTTTTGGTTTGGTGTGAACATTGGTGTGCCTCTGTGTCATGTTCCCCGCCCCCCCAACTAGTTTTAAAATTACCCTGTTATTACATTAACCATTATTACTTTAATCAAGATGAGCTCTTCTGGGCATCATTGTTCCTGATTGTATGCTTCTCAGGATGGTGCAGGAATTCTAACTTGAAAGTGCTCTTGCTTAATTGTTTTTGTAAAAGAACAGATTAAAACCTACACTGAAAATAGAGCATGTAAGCAGCTTCTCTCTTGTCTTTTAGTAGTTAGTTTTCTGCTGCAGTAATACATGGAGAGGGGAGGGGGCCAGCTACCAATATTTTGTTCTTTGACTATGGATGAAAAGAGTTGGGGTTGCAGATCTTGGGAGGAAGACGAAGATTATGGTTCCATAGAAATAAAGCTTGGTTCCAAAATTGGAGTTCTGTATGACTAGAAATATGTAACTTGTGTAAAGCAGTACATTTCCCTTTTTTTGTTAAAAGTAATCTCTGTCAAATGTATGCTGCTCCAAGTACAACGAAATACAAAGGGAAAAGGCAAGACGTGGTAGTTGGGCAGTGGATGTATTGTTGCTTACCAGTTATGCATCCCAGGCTTGTTTGCCAGGAATAGCCACTCACTTTGGAAACAACTGTTCTGTCTTGAACCTTCCATTCGAATTCATGAAGTGTCTGCAAGTTAATTCTCTGGGGGCTTCTGTGGTAATACAGGCTTTGGTTTTGGAAATGTTTCTCCTGTGCAAAAGTTCCAGTTGTATTCCATATGCTTTTCAGTGGACAGGAAAATTCTGGTACTGGATCCTCTTGGCTCCCCCCCCCCCC